CAGATGAGAGAAAAGGATCTGGGGCTCAGAGTGGACCCCCACCGCCTGCCACAGAGCTAGCGCCTGAAGTCTGGGCAGGAAGGGGCTGGGTGCCCTGGCCTCAGAGGCCTTGGGATGGGCAGGGTGGTGGCCAGGACCCCATCTTTAGAGAAGACCCTCTTCAGGCCAATGTCTCTGGCCAGTGCTGAGAGCCCACACCCCACCCTCTGCCCAAGTCTGGCCTGCTGGAGCTGAAGGCAGTGCCCCCCTGGAGCAGGTGACAAAGCAGCAGCTGGTCGGCGAGGTCGGAGGTCACCTGCCATGGGCTCTTGTGTCGTCTGGCCGCAGGCCTGCTCAGCCCGCCAGCCCGGGCTCCAGTGCACAATTGGGCTGGAAAGAGCCCGGGGTGGGGGGTCAGCTTCCAGAGGGCCCCAGCCCCCGGCTCTTGAAGGTCAGTGGAAACTGACTCTGTGTGTCCAGCTCTGGCTGCCCTGAGCACACTCCTGGCCATGCTGCCCTGGACCCCGGCTGACCCAGGTTGGGCCCACCTCCTCCGCTCACTGGCCCTCTGGGGCCACAGGACAGGGCCAGAGACACGAGGTGGGTGCCACCGGGGGCTGCAAATGGTGAAGCAGAGACACCCTTTCAGAACCCCCAACGAGCCACCGGGGTCCAGGGCCCAGAGGGTGGTCTTTGGATACAAACAGGGCAGGGGGGAAGGCAGGTTTTGGGAGCTGGGAAGGGCCCCCCCAAACCGGGGACTGGCTGCATGCTGGGAAGGGAGGTCTCCGTCCCTGCAGATGACCCGGTAGATCCCCATGGGGTGGACGCTGGTTCGGGGCCGTGTGTCCCAGGAGCCCTGGCCCACGTCTGCCTTTCGCCACCCCCACCTCCCTCTCCAGCTGTCTGCCCTCCCCAGTCAAAATGCCCTCCTACGGGGCACAGGGTGGCAGCCCCCCTCCCCTGAGCATCCATCGGATGGCACCGTCCACTGGTGCCCTGCCCGGGTCTGCAGCCCCGCGGTGTGGTGGCCTCTTCTCAAACCCTCCTGTTAGTCCTTAATTTAGCTGGCGCTTCCTGGGTACCTGGGGGGCCAGGCCCTGGGCCAGGTGCTGCTGGGATCCAGCCCCCCTTGGGGCCCTAAAGTCCCAGTAGAGACCCCTGCCTGGTGGGGGACCTGCTTGCGCAAACAGGCCTGAGCAGGGAGGGGCTGTGCTGACGGGCAGCTGGGGCCAATACGACGCAGGGAGCAGCCGTGAGGAGGAAAGCCGCAGCCGTGGGGGCCAAGGTGAGAGGTGGCTGCAGCTCGCAGGGCCTCACAGGCTGGGCCTGGGCCGGGCAGTGGGGGGGCCAGAGCTGGCCTGGGTGCAGGACGGTGAGCAGCCAGCTGGGGATGTGGACAGCTGGCGCTGGCTGCAAGGGAGCCTGGGGGGTGAGACTGGACGCAGGAGGGGCCGGGAAGTCTCTCTTGGGGTCACGGGGGCCAGGCAGGGTGTGTAGAGTGAGGAGATAGAGCCCAGAACCTAGGCATCTCCCAGGCTGTCTGGTTGCCTTTATTAAGCACCTACTGTGCGCCAGACCTGGGCCCAGAGTTTGCGTGTATTAGCTCCATCAGCCCCGCCCCCCCCCCCCACTTTCGCTGTTCCTCATTTCACAGATGGGAGGGGCCGGGCGGTGCAGGTCTGCCCTGCCCTTCCTCCCCCGGCCTCTGGCCCAAAGACTGGGAAAACCTCAGGTTGGGCTGATAGTGGCCTCAGAGACTGGCCCCAGTGCCCGCGAGGTGCCATCATCCGCCGGCTCAGACGGGCGCTGACGGGGGCGGGGGACAGGGCAGAGGAGGTGGGTGCCCAAGAAAGTGGGCAGCAGGACTGCCCCCGAGCCGCCCCCACCCTGTGCCCCCAGCAGATGCTCCCAGCACCCATTGGACACCGAGGACCTCAATAAGGGAGCCCAATTTGGAGACAAAGACCGGGCGCTGTGGACAAACACTCATGGACGTTGTCAGCGCGAGCAGCCAGGCAGCCGCGGCGAGGCCACAAAGGGGCCGGGGGAGGGGCGTGAATGGGCCTGGGCTGCACATGCCACCGTTGCCCAGGCGACGGCCCTCTCCCGGAGAGGTCTGCTGGGCCATTGTCCGGGGCACACAGGACGTGTCATACACCAGATGGCCGTGTGCTGTCTAAGTCAGTTATCGGGGGACAGAGTGAAGGAATGCGGCCGGCGTGGCAGGCCGGGGCGCCATCTGTTCCCTCAGACCGCGGGCACCGGGCAGGCATTGAGCGCCCGGCCGGCCGGGCCCAGCCTCCACTGAGGGCTTTAATTAGCTAATTCCATAATTGGGCTTTATTTCAGGTAAATTGCATTTCACACCCGAGAGGGCTGCAACGGCCCATCCAGGAGCGAGGCACCGGCCACTTTGTGCGTGGCCGCGAGCGCGGGGAGCAGAGCAGGCTGGGTGCAGGGGCCGCGCCTGGCCCAGATGGGCGGCCCGCCGAGCGCCGCGGGCTGGGGGCCGGGGCTGGCGCGGCCGGGCCGGGGGCGCCGTGGAGGGCCCTGCTCTCCAGCCAGCCGCTTCCTGGGGTTTCCGCAAATATTTACCCAACAAGGAAACAACAGCTTTTGCCTTTCCAGTAATTGTTGCTCCCGCCCCTCCCCCGGTGGGTGCAGGCCCTGCGAGGCCCCTCCTCCCCTCCCTGCACTGGGGCAGACACCAAGTCCCCATGGTGGGAGCCAGGGCTGGGCTCCGGGGAGCCCCTGGGAGGGTCAGCAAAGTGGGACCCAGGGACCTCCCCTCCTACAGGGCCCCAAGCTGCCACGCCACGTGGAAACCTGGATCTTCTGTCCTGACGCTGGCCCCTGCTGCTTCTGGTGGCCTCGGGACAGCCCCATCCTCAGAAATCTCAAATGCCCCGGCCCTGAGGGCCTGGGAATTTGGGGTGAGCTCCAGAAGGAGGACAGGAGGGGAAGCAGTCCTAGAGGGTAGAGAAACAGTCAAGAAGTAGGTACAGCGGACCCACCCCCCACCTGGGCGAACGTGTCTATACCTGTGGACTGGAGGGCAGGGGCCGTATGGAGAGTGTGGGTGGAGTGAGGGTGCCCATGTGGCAGGGTGAAGGACGAGTGGCCCCCACCTGGCATATGCCTCCAGCCTGCTTGGAGCCAGACAGGCCCAAGGGAGCACTGTGTTACTGATGGGGAAATTGAGGCCTAGAGGGAGGCAGACGTGTCTGTGTGGGGGCCCTGGAACCCCGGCCCTTCCCTGCACCCCACTCCAGTCAGGATCCAGTCTGTGTGCCTCGATGTCCCTAGGGATCCTGGAGGGTGGGCCTGGATGGGGCCCACTACCGTGGTGGGGTTCGTGGGTCCTTGGACAAGGGCCAGCTGGGCCTGGGAGGGGCAGAGGGAGAGGCCTGAGTGTGTCCCCTAAGGTGGATGCCCAGGGGGATGGACTGTAGCCCCAGCTCCCACAGCCCCAACCAGGCCATGCCCTGGACAGAGGGCCGGGCCCCGGAGTGGTACCGGCCTGCCCCAGAGGCTCAGGGGCTGCTGGGAGACAACAGTGACATCTTGACTACACCAGGTGGCCAGGGCCACCCTAGGGGGAAGTCACAGGGCCACCAGAGCCCTGATCAGGAAGGATGCTGAGCTGGGCTGGAGCCTTTGCCTAGCTCCCACAGCCTTTCTGAGCTCTTCAAACCCTGGACCTCTCCTCTGTGGAAAGAATCATGAGTTCTGTTTAGCGGCCACCTGGGCACCCGTCTCCAAGGGGCCTGCAGGGGTCCTGTCCCTGAGTGAGGTCCACGAGGGTTCCAGGCAGGGCCTGTGGGGAAGGGAGCTGGGCCTGGGAGGAGGCGGGGGCTCAGCTGCCCATGGGCAGCAGTGGGAGGTAGGCAGAGGAGGGCAGGGCGCTGTCCTGTCCACAAGGAGCCCTGTGGCCTGGGAAATGAGAGTGGGGCCTGGAGTGCAGCTGGCATGTGGGATGTGGGCACTGAGGACAGGGTCCCTGAGCCCTGTCTCCGTTGCTTATCCGGGGTGACGACCCCACCTGCTCACCCCGCCCCCTTGAGGGGTCACAAGGCCTGGAGGGGGCTGCTTCTCATGAGGGGCTATTAGGGAGAGCTTGTTGCAGGAGGGGACTTTGAGCCAGGCTGTAGACCAAGGGAGCGATTTCATCAGATGGAGAGGAGCTGGGAAGAACATTCAGCAAGAGCAAAGGCTGGGGGGCGGGGGGGCGTGTTTCTGGTCTGTCCCAAGGTCCGGGTACATTCTTTCCTTCTGCTCAGTTCACGTGGACAGAGCCTGACCTCGGTACTGGCTGCGGGGACAGGAATGGCCTGGGCTCAGCTGCCCGGCTCCCTGGGGGACCCTGCTTCCAGAACCCCAGGCCAGTGGGCAGGGGGCTCCTGGGCCTCCTCTCGCCTGGGCAGGTGGGGGTGGTGACTCCACGGGGGAACAGGGTCGTCCCAAAGGTGGGTGGCTCCCTAGGAATCAAGGTGAGAGGAAGTCATCAACCCCGTGACTCTCCATGTTTATTAGGAAAAGCCGGCACAATTAAGAGTCAAAATCACACGGTGAAACTCATTAAAACAGATTCCAAATCACAACAAATTATTCTGATTTCTGTGAGACGTAACGCCCAGCAGCCCCATCCTGTGTAGAGACTGTGACACCCTTAGGCTCCCTCACGGTTTGGCAGCCGGCCCAGGGAGGGGACAGTTCTGTGCATCTGTCTGTCCAGCCGCTCAGACCGGGCAGGGAGCTGAAGGCGGGGGCCGCGCACAGAGTGGGGTTGGGGGGACCCTCCTCTTCTCTCCAGAATGGGTAGGAGAAGCTGCCAGTCCAATGTGGGGGACCTGCCCGCCCCCATTCCACTGGTGGACATTCCACCTCCAGTGAGGCAGTCGGGGGACAGCGGTGGGCCTGCCCCTCCTGCTGGAAGCTGTGGCCTCGGGATCAGCTCCCCTCATAGCGCCCCGTCAATCGAGGCGTCATCTCTGGGGACTGAGGGAGCAGGCCTGGGCCCCCCGAGTGGGGCTTGTGGGCCTGGGTCACGGGCGTCCTTATTCGGCATGGGCTGGGCCTGCCCTGCCCTGCGTGCCTTCTCCCCGGGTCCACCTGCGTCCTGGATGTGAGGCTGGGGGTGGGGCACCCACAGACCCTGTCCAGGCTGTCCCTCTGTCTCCCCTTAGGAAGCCCCCTGGGGCCTACCAGGGTGGGCTTTCGCGCAACTGTGCTGCTTCCTGGTCATACATGGGACGGACCAAGTGCCTGGGATGTCCAGCCCGATGGGGGCCAGCCTGACCCCCTGCTACTGTGTCCCAACCACGCAAGCGATGTGGGGGGCCACAGTGTCAGAGCTGAGAGGGGGCCCCTACCCAGCCAAGTTCTAGTACCCGCTGGCCGGGAAGAGGTGGCCTTGGTGAACCCCAAGCCCAGGCCCGAGGGGCGGCATGGCCCACCAGGTGGCCGGGGCCTGGGAGAGAGGGGCTGCTCTCTCGGGCCTTTGAGAAGGTGGCTGCGGCCCGGTGGGTGCCCCTGCCGAGTGGGAGGTGGGGTGGGCCTCCCCTCTCAGGCCCCGGGCCCCCATCAGGACCCATCGTCAGGGCCCCTGCGGGGCACGGTCAGCTGTTCGTAGGTGGGCAGGGCGTTGCTGGGCAGGAAGAGCTCGGGGTTGATGGAGCCACTGCTGCAGGGCTGGACCACTCGGGCCCCGTCCCCGCTGGGGGGGCGGCCGCCTGGGGGGCTGCCGTGGTGCAGGGAGAGCAGCTGCTGCAGCATGTCCGTGATGAGCACCAGCCTCTGGTCCAGCTGCGTCACCTGCGGGGACAAGAACAGAGCTGAGTTGGGTGACGCGGGCAGCCCAGGTGTGCGGCGGCCTCAGGGCCTGGGCGTGGCGAGGAGTGTGGGGGGAGGTGTGTGGCCCGCATGTCCACGTGTCCAAGTGTCCCTGCAAATGCGAGCTGTGCACGGGCCTCGGTCGTGCCTGCGAGTGAGGAATGTGCATGCGGGTATCCGAGTGTGCACTTGTGTAGACACGTGGTTGGAAGGAGTCCGCGCTCTGCAGCCCTCACCTGAGACCTGGAGGCCAGAGCAGGTTATTCCTCCTGGGAAGGGCTCATGAGTCCCAGGGCGGGGCCTCCCCCCTGTCCCCCGCACACCAACGGGGCTCGTGCTCCTGTCACCCCACGGGTACCCCTTCCCTAGCTCAGCACAGGCACCACCATCTTCCCAGCAAGCCAGCAAACGAGGACTCTGTCTGCAGCCACCCCCAGGGGTCCGGCCAGGGCCCCAAGGCGCTTGCTCCACCACACGACCCCGCCACGCGGTTACCGAAAGCCTGTCTGGCGCTGAGCACTGGGTTTGCCCATGGTGAACAAGATGGGGCCACTGGGTGAAGCTGGTGGGCAGGTGGAGGCAGGACGGCCCAGGGACAGCAGAGGTTCACAGAGGCCTCTGGGTGGCCAGGAGGGGCAGGGGCTGAAGGCAGTCCAGGGTGGGGGGAGGCCTGCGGAGCCCTCAGAGCCAGGCAGGGGGGAAGCAGAGCTAGGCCAGGGCACGGGAGGGAGCCCAGGTGGGCTGAGGGTCTAGCGCTGTCTGAGGGGCCCCCTCTCCTGGGAGGTTGGCCAGGAGGAAGTGCCGAGCCAGAGAGCGGTGGGCCTGCAGTCCAGCATGAGCCAGGGTCTGCGGGGACCCAGCTCAGACTGCGGCTTGTAGAGTGCTTGGTCAGAGAATAAAGCAGACCCTCCCCCACTGGGTACCTGGAACACCAGAGAGACTGGAAACGGTGGTGGAGGGAGTGGAGGGGGCCAATCATCGCTTGACGGGCTGAGCCACAAGAATGCAGAGCGGCTTCAGGGGAGAGCGTGGCTTGGGGGGAAGAGTCACAAGGATGGCTCTCCCACGTGTCAACTGCTGGGGCTGAGGACAGCAGCAGGCAGAGCTGGCTGCCACTGTCCACCCACCTGGACACACACACGTGGGCGTGGTGTCTGTGCCCCTAGGCCCCACCTCCCTGGACCCACCCAGGCCCCACTCCCCGAGGACCAGGCGGAGCTAGGGTGCTGGCCAGGCAGGATGGCCCCGAGGAAGATGCTGTTGGGTGAAGTGGCCACAAACCCTGTGTGGGCTAGAGGCGGGGTAGCCAGGTCCCCGGGGCGGGCCCAGGCCTGCTTCAGAAGTGGGTGTGGCAGTCACCAACCCTCTCTCCCAGGGACACTGAGCCACAGGGGTGGGGAGATGAGAGGAGGGTCTCTCTTGAGGAGCCAGGGGAGCCTCTTCACCAGAGACCCTGTGGCAGGTGGGGCAGGATGAGGCCGTGCCCTTCCCGGAGGCGGAGACCCAGCTTTGCAGCACGGAGGCTGGGCGCAGTCTGAGACCCACCTGTCTCAGGTCCCATCACCCAGGCCAGAGGGGCCTTATCTTCAATTTTCCCAGACAGATGCAATGCGGGAGCCCAGGTTATAAGGGGAAGGGGTGAAGGACTTCTCTGGTTCGGGCAGGGTGGGGCCTGGGCCACTCACTCAGCTCCCCATGCCACGGTACCTGCCGGCATGTACCACCCCAGTTCTCTACAGAGCTGTTTGGAGACCACTGAATAAACCCTAAGTCCACCCCACACATGCAGACCCTAAGGCCCCAGGAGGAGAAGGGCCTTGCTCGGGGTCACCTGCTGGTACCCCTGCAGCCCCCACGTGCGGGTTCCATGCTGAGAAGACACGGCATCAGGAAGGGAGGGGGACCCATCAGGGGCTGAAGCAGGGGTCGGGGCTGAGCTCAGAGGCTGGGTGAACGCTCTCAGTGAGCAAGGTGGGAGGGGATGTGGGGAGGGGGACTTGCTCCCCATCACACCCAAACCCATCCGTTGCCCTGGCCCCTGGGGGTCCCGCTGCAGCAGGCCTGACCCCCTCAGTCCCACTGCCCACTCGCACCCCAGGAAGCCTGTGGGGAGTCACCTGGGCTCCCTGGGCCCCCATACTGTAGCCTTGAGCAAGGCTGGTCCAGGCGTGGCTTCACGTTGCTTAACTGTGCAGGCCCCGGCTTGGGCATCCATTGGTTTGGCATCAATTAAAGCATCAAATACGTTACAGAAGAAAATCTGTGGTTTCATAAATTTTCACTTTACGGCACTTGAACATCTGTGGAAGGCCTTAGATGTGCAAGTGGGTATGGAAGCCTTTATAGGGTGTTCTTGGGACAAAAGGAAACGGAAGGGTGGTTGGAGCAGGAAGCGGTGGGGGCTGCTGGGCGTGGCTGGAGAAGGGGCTCAGTCCTGGGCCACCTCCAGTGACAGTGGGCCAGACCTGTGTAGCCCTCCCAGCCCCCGACCCCCTGAGCTAGGCCCCCCTCCTGGAGCTGGGTGGCTGGCCTTGGTGCCACACACCGCCCGAGGGCTGCCTGCTGCTCCTCTGCTGGCTCTGGGCTCCGTGCCCAGCCCCCAGGGCCCTGTGGTGGCCTCTGCCCAGCACACGTGGGCCTCTGTCCCCCTCACTGGCTGATGGCATTGCCCCATTGGTGGTGTGGGCTGAGCCGTGGTCAGGTTGACCTGGGAGGCCGAGTCTGCTCCCCAGCGCTGAGGCCTGTCCCCTGCACTCTCCTCTCCGGAAAGCGAGGGAACCTGCTCCTCCCTCAGTGGGTTGTCTTGAGGATGGAGCAAGACAGTACGGGCTGGGTGAGCACGACATGCACGGGACCCTCCTCTCCTCTGGGGCGGGGCACTGGGGTGGTCCCAGGGCTTGGGGGGCTCCTTCACTCAGGCCTATGAGCGGCCCTGCTGGTCCCTCTGCTGGGAGGGCCCTGGGCCGGGACGGCCCCTCCTCAGCCTCAGGGCTCAGCTCCATCGCGTCTCAGAGAGACGGTCCCTGAGCCGCCACACGCCATGTCCTCCCTCCTTGGCCCTGGACACGGAGTGCCTTTATCTGGTGCACACATTTGACCGCTATGCCCGAGGAGCCCCTCGATGGGCCAAGGGAGCAGCCTTGGCCACACCCCATCCGCGGGGTGGGGGTCCTTCCAGGCAGGTGCCCAGGGGAGGCACCGCCACCCTCAGGGGAAGGCAGTGCCTGCTCCGGCTGGGCGCGTTCCCCAGGAGCCGTGGGGGCAGATCAGTTTGGGGATCTGGAATCCCGTCATTATTTGCAATTTGATAGTGACTGAAAGTACAAGCCAACAAAAGCTGCCTTGTGCCCTGCCTCGATTCACCAAATTCATAACCCTCGGACGGCTTCTGCGGCCCTCGGAAGAGAAAAAAGCAATTAGAATAACAGCTAGTTAGAGCCAGGGCGGCAGGGGAGCGAGGCGACGGGGTTCCTGTTTGATGTGGTTCTGAATTTGTTTTCAAAAGAAAATCTTGAAAAAGAGTCTTTCAAGGGAAATTTTTGCAGAACCTGCTCGGCCTGGATCCCAGCTCTGGACCCGCTGACGGCCCTGGCCGCGGGCGCGCCTCGGCTGTCTCGCCACCCTGGCTGGAGTCGGCTGGAGAGGGGACACAAGGCCTGGGACCCCAGGGGAGGGAGCCCCCGGCCCTGGGGCGCAGCTTGTGGTGTCCTCCGGGGTCCCTGGGGATCAGGATCTAAAGGCGGGTGGGGCCTCCTCTCAGTACAGCCCTGGGCCCTCTGTAGGGTCACAGGGCGAAGGTCACCTGGGCCCTCCTCTTGTTTGCAGACTGTCCTGGACCAATAGTCATTGGGCCATACTCAAAATATTCAATACCAGGCACTAAGCTGGGCTGCAGGGAGTTAGGGGGTCCAGGTGCGGGGCAGGACATGCAGGAGCCCCAGCTAGCTCCACCCTGGCACACGCCGGGGACACACACACCGGGGACATGCACGGGACACGGCTGTGATTACTCGGCATGTCCCAGCCCTGGCTCTGCACTCCGTCCTCCATTGTGCCGCATGCTGGGCTGCGTGGCTGCCAAGCAGGTTTTGGGTGGTGGTCCTGGGCCCCTGGGGACTACTGGGTTCTCCATCTCAGAATGCCAGGTTCTTGTACCACCCCTGTGGGCCTGCCCCTGACCCCAGCTCTCACTCTGCAAGCTGCTGCCTGGTCAGGGAGGGGAGTGGAGGGTGGCAGTGACCTATGACCTTTGCCCCCTGTGCCCTCCAGCACATGCAAGTGATACTGAACAGCCACTTCTAGGGCAATGGATGTCATTGAGAGAAACCACCAAGGGGAGAGGCGCTGGCTGCTTCTAGGTATTTGCCAGCCCAGAACCCTTCTCCACTGACCGTGGCAGAGGAGGGCCACCCTGATGTGACAGCTGTGGTCTGCCATCCTCTGGACCCAGAGGACCTCAGGGTCAGGCCAGGGACACACCCAGGACCTGCATGCTCGACCCTGCTGGGCCTTGGGCCTGAACTCAGACCACAAAACCACGGTTTTCCTGCACCTCCCTTGAGGCCTTTCTCTCTCTCTGTGACCACCCTGTTCCTTCCGCAATTTCCCTCATCTCAGAAAAAGGCTCCACATCCCAGCATCACACTCCACATTCTATACGTCAGCAGACCTGGGAGACCCCTGCCCGCCCCTCCATGGCCCCAGCCTGGGCCAGAAGCCCATCCTCTTTCTGGGACTGGTGCAGTAGGCTGGCAGCTGGCCTTCCCCCACCACATGCTTCCACACGGTGTTTTTTCCAAAACACAAACCAGGTCATGTCACTGCCCTGCCGACACCCTCCCCAGCTCCCATCTCACTTGTAGGAGAAGCCTGAGTCTCTCTGGTGGCCCCCAGACCTGTCCCCTTTGCTCTCTGGCCTCTGCTCCTTCTTCCCTCCTAGTTCGCTCCGCTCCAGTTCTCTCTGCTGGTCCTCAAACATGGCA